AGCTGAAAACCAAAAACCTCCAATCATGGAGATCAAAGACCCTCTCTGAGGGTGCTTCTGCAGAGCAGCACCACCCTCCTTGTCTGTTTTTCCTAAGGCCGTGTGCAAAGCTACATGAAGGAAGTTTGTGGCTGTTGCCTGTGCCATAACATTTTTAACAGAAGAAAAGTTTGCCTTCACCTTCATGTCTGCAGGTAGATGCTGTCTGCTTTTAGACTGTCTTCTGCATCTCCCCTTCAGAAGACTGAAGAGTTCCCTCAGCCTCTCCACACAACTTGTGCTTCTGGCCCCTAACCCCGTCATGACAGACTTCACCTGGACGTTCTCCAGTTTCTCCATCCTCCTTTCAAACTGGGAGACTCACTGGCTCATATGGCATCCATCGTCACTCCCATGCCCTTCTCCCCAGAGCACTCTTCAGCCAGGCACATCACAGCCTTCCCAGTGCACCAGGTTTATTCTGCCCCCCGTGAGGACCTTGCCCCCTTTGCCTTTTAAAATTTCAGGATTCTTCAGTTCGCTAAGTCCCCATGTGTGTTAAGGTCTTTATGGACTGAAACTCCAACATGTCAGCATTTAAGGTTTGTTGGCCAGTGCCTCATACAAGATGAGCATATGGAGAATTGCAGGACACTACATGTAATGAAAGAGAATGATGTGCTTAATGGAGATGCTCTCCAAGGTTGAAAATTACCACAGCAACCATCTCAGAAACACCAAAAGAAGGAACAAACCAAGAAATTCACGATCAATGGGGAAAAGATTCAGAGGGCAGGCAGTTCTTTCTGAAGAATATTAGGATATAAAAGAGAAGAACTTGGGGCAAGGAGAGCATGTCATCAGGGTTGTCTGGGGGCACCTGTGGAGTAGCCCAGCACTTGATATGAATCACTTCAGTGTATCGGGGAGAATCTGAGAGCTTTCCTTAATTTGAAAACATGAAGGTGAAGGAGGGACAGCATCAATCAGGCTGGAAGGAACCTCAGGAGGCGTCTTGACCTACCTCGTGCTCAAAGCAGGGTTAGACCAGATTTCTCAGACCTTTATCTAAATAAGTCTTGATTACTTTCTGGGATAGAGCTAGTTCACACTCCCTGGCAAACAACTTCCAGCACTTGACTATCCTCATGTTGGAAAAATCTCTCCCTCTATCTGACCCTTTGTGGTTTCAACCCATTTCCTCTTGCCCTTTCGTCTTGTATCACAAACTTGAGCCTGAATTGGTCTTCCTGAACCTGAACAGTGCCATACTGCTCCTTGTTCCTGCAAGATCTTCCTTTCTCAAGCCTGAACAATCCCAAGATGTCAGCCTCTTCTCACAGCACTTGTGTTCCAGCCATGGCCCTCCACTGAACTGTCTCCAGTTTACCAGTCTGCCTTTTTAGGGGTAAAAAACTAGAGAATTATTCTGGATGTGGTTTAAAAAGTGCTGAACAGAGGGGGATTATCTCTTCCACTAGCTGTGTTTCAGCTCACACAGCCCAAGATGCAGTTGACCACCCTTGCTAATGGCCCATATTTGGCTTATTGAATCCCAAGGACCACCAGTGCCTTTCCCATGGAGCTGCTTCCCATGCAGGCAGTCCCTGGCCTCTATCATTGAAGAAGCTTAGTCCACCTCAAGAACAGGACTTTAGCTAATGTTCCTACTGGCCCAACCCACTGGTCTGTTGAAGGAAACTTTGGGATGGCAGCCCCGACTTCACTGTAGTGTCTGCTCTCCTCAATATGCTGTCATCTACAAAGGTATGAAAAAGCACTCTTTCACACCTCCAGGGCCTCTTAAACAGGACAGGCTACAGTATAGACCCCTGCAGGACACTACTAGCTAGAATCACAGAATCACAGAATCACAGAATGGTAGGGGTGGGAAGGGACCTCTGTGGGTCATCTACTCCAACACCCCTAAGAGTACCTCACATGGACCATGTCCCTCCAGGCCAAAAGTTCAGCTGTTTTTTTACAACCCTACTTATCTACCCCTGCAGACTATAATATCCTAATTTAGACACAAGACAGGGATGATGCTGAATGCCTTTCTGACTACCACGTAAAAGATACCACTCTCTCCCTCTATCCGGCAATCCTGTCCTTCGATTACAAAAAGCAAGGAGGATAGCCAGGTGCAGCTTGCCCTGGGTAAATCCACCCACCTTTTCTTTTCACTCAGAAACAGGACCTGAGCGGACATGCCCTGGGGCACATCCTTTGCCTCTCCTGCTCATCCTTTGGGAATTTTTGAAAGTTTCATGAAACTTTTGGGGGACGCCAGTTGTCAAAAAATTCTCTCAGTCTCCATGACCTTTCAAAGATAATGGAGAGTGGCCTCACTGTGACATCAGCTTGCCCTCTCAGCTCCCTCAGCTGCCACCCTTCCGGTCCCACTGGCTGGGGAGGATTTTTTTTGCTCAAGGACCCCTGATTTGATCCTCATCCATTTCTTGTTTTTCCCTTTCTGCTTCATGCCTGAAGTCAGAGGGCTGGGAGAACTTGCTGGGGAAGACTGAGGCAAAGAGGACATGGAGTATCTCCCATCTAGCTACACCTGTTGCTACTAAACTAAGCAGAGGTCACACAGTATCTTTGATTCTCCTTTAACTGTTCCCAAAGTAGTAAACACTTGTTATGGTACCTTTGAATTTCCTTTTAAGTTTAGACTATGTTTTGCTCTGGATTGTTGCTGTGCTTGTAGAATGCTGTCCTTGAAGACCAGCTGCATTGAGCTGTGCCACCACGTCTTGGCAGTTTATTCCATCAGTGTCACAGCCCTGTCTCCAGCATTAACAGCTCCAGCTCATCCTGTCTGTTGCTCTGTCTGAAGGTATTGCTGCACGTTTGGGCTAAAGCACCTCAGCTGTGGCATCAGAGAAGATGTGACTTGCCGTAAGGAATCCTGGTACCAAGTGTCCAAGACCCCATGTGTGCTATTGATGGCACAAGAAGAGGTGATTCTCACGACCAACTCTTTTTCTGATAGGAGAAATAATGCAGCTGGAAAGAAGTGCCCCTCCCCAGTTGAGACAGGGAACTTGAGGGATTCCTTCTGCCTGTTTCACAGCAGGTTCTCTTGGAGCTCTGGGGACACCTGGAGGAAGCCCAGAGGGGGCAGAGAAAGATATGCCTTGGGCTCATCCTCTGCTGCTGAGCTGAGCTGGGCTCCTGGGATGGAGTGAGCTCACGGTAAGCGGGCAGCACTGCAGAGAGACAGATCTGCCCATAAGCAGCAGCTCTGTAAAGCACCATGAAGCTGAGATCACTGCCTGCAGCAGGCACCGACGGGAAAGCTGAGTGTTCAACAGGGAAAGCATCTTCACAGCCCTTAACATGGTAAGTCTCTGGCCGCAGGGTAAAGCTGCAGTTCCCAGAAAGTTCTAAAGCTGGCTCGTTCCTTGGCTGGTGCAGAGGGGAAGGATGTGCTCCAGAGCAAGGCTTAATTATCGCACTATCAGAGGGACAGCTCATGACAGCTTCCTTCTCCTGGGGAAGTCTGTAGGATGTGAAGGCAGATGTGAAGCCAGTGGGGCCCAGGGCTGTCCTTCAGAGCAGGATCCCTGCCTGCCAGTGTGCCGTATGCCAGGACAGGGACTCTGCTGCCTGCCAGGATCAGCACTCAGCCTGCCCGGGAATGTCCTCACAGAGCTGTGGGCAGAAGCTCTGGGTGGAAGCAGTGACCCCCCAGTAAGCCAGGTTCATTCCGCGGTTGAGAGGGCACTATGTGGGTTAGGGCTGCTTACAGCTCCAGATCACCGACAGAACATTTTCAGAGGGTTCTTTTCAAGAAAGACCTCAAGGTACCATTCACCTTAAAGGGAAGGAATCTGTGCTTTGAGTTTTGTTCTCTTGGATTGCTGGGTGAGCAGTGGGAGGAATTTATTTCTGCTTTGTGGAGAAGGCATGGAGACCCCACTCCTTGTTACCATTTGTATGGGCTTCTCCCGAGCCCCTGCACACACAGAGATGTCCCTGGGCAGTCCTCAGCAGCAGGAGGTGTCTGCAGGGCAGGACGGAGCACACAGAGCAGGTGGGATGAGGTCTGTGAGCACTAACAGGGACAAGACCTGGGGACAGCAAAAGAGATCCCAACAGGGACAGTTCCAGACAGCAGAGGCATGGGCAGGTAAGGACAGGGAGCTGCTCCAGGTGCCCTGCGGTTCACTGCCTGTGAGCTGGAGAACACAGCTGGGTAAGGAGCAGGCTTCAGTGCATGCTGGAGTACCTCTCCTATGAGGACAGGCTAAGAGAGTTGGGAATGTTCAACTTGGAGAAGAGAAGGGTGTGGGGTGACCTTAGAGCAGCCTTCCAGTACCTGAAGGTGCCTACAGGAAGGATGGAAAGGGACTTTTCACAAGGGTGTATAGTGATAGGACAAGGGGGAATGGCTGTAAACTTAAAAAGGGTAGATTTAGATTAGATATTAGGAAGAAATTCTTCACCATGAGGGTGGTGAGGCACTGGCCCAGGTTGCCCAGAGAACCTGTGGCTGCCCCCTCCCTGGAAGTGTTCAAGGCCAGGTTGGATGGAGCTCTGAGCAACGTGGTCTAGTGGAAGATGTCCCTGCTCATGGCAGGGGGGTTGGAACCAGATGAACTTTAAGGTCCCTTCCAGCCCTTACCATTCTATGATACTACGATTCTTTGCCCATCTGCGACATTCTCCTTGTTTCATTTTTTGGGAGCATAGTTGTATTTCTCTTTTTCTCCCTACCTTTCTGTCATAGTCTTGATCTCTGGAGTTTGAGCCGGAGTGCAGGTCAGCTTCTATTCTGACTCTGACTCTGGTACTCCTGCCCCAGAGCTATCCTCATGGAAACTAAGTGTCTAAAATGTGTTATAAATGGTCACTCAGCTGGTGGTGTTGGGGAATGAGCTGGCTCGTTCCTTATTCAGCTCAGGGAGGGGAATTCCTATGAGAAATGGCACAGTAGTTTCCTCAGAGAAGTGTCTCCCAATGTGTCACTATCCTTTCCTCCTTAGATAGATCACCAGGCCCAGAAAAGGAGAATGACCAACCGCAGCTCCATCACCCACTTCCTCCTCCTGGAGTCTGCAGACACGAGGGAGCTGCAGCTCTTGCACTTCTGGCTCTTCCTGGGCACACGAACGGGCCTCATCCCCCCTGCCATACCCTGTGACTACCGTCTCCACACCGCCATGTACTTCTTCCTCCTCAACCTCTCCCTCGTCGACCTGTGCTCCATCTCCACCACTCTTCCCAAAGCCTTGGCCAATTCCCTGTTGGACACCAGGGCCATTTCCTATGCAGGATGTGCTGCACAGGTCTTTCTGTTTCTCTTTCTCACTTCAGTGGAGTTTTGTCTTCTCACTGTTATGGCCTATGACCGCTATGTTGCCATCTGCAAACCCCTGCACTACAGGACCCTCCTGGGCAGCAAAGCTTGTGCCAAAATGGCAGCAGCTGCCTGGGGCTGTGTTTTTCCCTATGCTGTGGTGCACACTGTCAATACATTTTCACTAACTCTCTGCCAAGGCAATGCTGTGGACCAGTTCTTCTGTGAAATCCCTCACATCCTCAAGCTCTCCTGCTCAGATGTCTACCTCAGGGAGGCTGGGCTTCTTGTGGTTAGTGTCTGTTTTGCATTTGTTTGTTTTATTTTCATTGTGTTGTCCTATGTGCAGATCTTCAGGGCCGTGCTGAGGATCCCTTCTGAGCAGGGACGGCACAAAGCCTTTTCCATGTCTCTCCCTCATCTGGCCGTGGTCTCCCTGTATGTCAGCACTGGCACGTTTGCCTACCTGAAGCCTCCCTCCCTCGCCTCCCCTTCACTTAACCTGGTGATGTCTTTTCTCTACGCGGTGCTGCCTCCAGCAGTGAACCCACTTATCTACAGCTTGAGGAACAAGGAGCTCAAGGATGCCCTATGGAAACTGATGACAGGTTGCTTTTCAGAAGAATCAATGAACTGCCAATCTTCTTCTGCATATCACTCATAATGTAACTCACTACAGCCTTTCTTTGGTAGAGTGTTGGGTTTGGTTTCTTTGATTTTTAGCTTTTCGTGGTTATATTAATGCTGCAAAGTCATTCTTCATCCTCCTTCTGCCTGTCTTGTGTGACCCAGAGTCTTTGTTTAAAGAAGCAGTTTTTCCCACTGTGCATTTAAATAAAATACATGACCTTGCACCAGCTTGTATTTCTGAGATTCTCTCTCCAAGGTCTTCTCTGGAGCTGCAGGGACAGCATCTGTGTACTGAGGTGGAGAGGCCATTAGCCATTCTGAGCTGGGTTTGCCTCCCAGCCTGACCAGCATGGCCCTGGGCAGCCCAGCCCACTTGCTCTGCTAAGCAGCCCCACCAGCTGAGGTGCTTTGGGGTACCTGGTCAGGGGGTGCAGGAAAGGTGAGCCAGCCAAGCACAGATGAGCTTTCCAGGGAAAGGGCTATGGAGCAGGAGATGGGATGTCCCAGACAAGAACAGGGTATTCTGTGTGTGTGCAGAGGAGACATGGAAAGAGAAAGCCTTTGCTTTGCGTGACAGCTCGGGACAGGCTGTCCTGTCTGTGGGGCAAAAGGACCTTCCTGAGTATCCCGTGGGCAAGTTGTCTCATGTGGTCATGGAGAGCATGTTTGACAGCTGGGGCTGCAGGCTGCCTTGGGTTGAGATCTCCTCAGCATGCCGGCTGAATGAACATTCTCACTGGCCTCCATTTCCTGCTGTGGGACCAGTCCCAATAGGGCTTCTGTGCTGGCCTTGGCTGGGTAGAGGGCAGGGAGGTGGTAAGATTCACGGAGGGGCTGAGATGGCTGGGCTGGTAAATGTTCTGGAGAGGAAATCACCAGGGAACAGCTAAAACAAGTGAGTGCAGTGTTGGGGTAAGCTGCAGCGTCCTTGCATAGCCAGGCTCATGCGAGAGGTGTGAAGGACCAGCAGAGCAGGGTCTGGTCAGTGCCTGTGTTCACTGGACACCACAGGGAAGCTGCCCCAGGGCAATCATCACAGAGCAGCCAATAACAACCATCATTTCCAGCACTGGCCTCTTACCCCAGCTCAAAGCGGTTATTTGTCCCTGCCTGGAGGGATACCAAAGGACTAGGTCAGAAGTCCATGTCTGTGTTGTACAGATGAGCATGCACATCATGTGAGTGTGAGGGAGATGAACCCGAGTGAGGACAAATGCCATCAGCTGTTCCTGGGGGTTCCATGAAGGGACAGAAAGTCTCTCGAGGTCACTTTATCTTGAAAGCAGCATCCCCATGGAAAATAACTGAATGCAGCACTGGGATGAATGATGACGTTCCCTGAGCTGCACTACCAGTAAGTCTCTGGGTGCAGTGCAGTGCAGCTGCATTTTGTGGAAGGATGTCCTAAAGCTGGCTAATCCCATAGCCTACGGGATCTTTCAGGAGGACTCTTGCACTCTTTCTAGTGTAGAGGAGAAGGATGTGCTCAAGAGTAGGGATTCCCCACTGCATTGTCAGAGGGACAGGGTGTGACGGCTGCAATGGGATATGCTTCCTTGAACTGAGGTCCCTGCATCAAATCCGTGGAGCATCTCAGACAAGTGCAGAGCAGGGTGATATATTGCAGAGTTGAGGTAATGATAGTAATAGTCATAATAATGAGGTTGCAAGATAAACTATATACAATACAATTTTCTCACCACTGTATGACTGCTTTGCAGTGAGACCCTGAGCAGCAATCACAGAACCTGTGACAAGGGCTGTGAAGTTTTCTCCAGCAGCGAGCTCTCAGCATCCTCCCACTCCCAACTGACTTTAAGCTCTCTCTGACTCACTCTCAACTCCATGCCTGCACGCAGAGCCCTCAGCCTTGTTGAGATCTGCAGAGTTGCTGTTCCTGGGCAGAGCTGTATTTCTGCAGCACCTTCTGCTTGCCATGAGCTCACTCAATCCCAGGAGCCTCGTTCAGCTCAGCAGCAGAGGACCAGGCAAGGTGTCACTTTCTCTGCCCCTTCTGGGCTCTCTTCAGTTGTCCCTGGGGCTCCAGGGGAACTTGCTGTGAAACAGGCTGAAGCAATCCCTGATGTTCTTTCCCTCAGCTGGGGAGAGACACTTCTTTGCAGCTGTGCCATTTCTCTTACCAGAGTCAGGCTTAGGGCTTATGATCACTTTTTCTTGTCCAGTTATTAGGCAGGACACCTAGAAAGTGACAGTCGGGGATCTCCTTTATCCCTGCTGAGGGAAGGGATGCAGCAGAGTCAATTGAGGCATGTGATCCTGGGGCTTGAAAAGGACTCGGCTCCCTCCCATTCACACCACAAACCCACAAGATGTGGGTTCCTCTTCCCTCAGTTTTGGTGCACACAAAACAGGCACCTGCATGTGACCTCCTTGTCTCAGCTCAAGTAACAATGAAGGTGGAGATCAGGAGGGAGCTGTTCAGACACAAACACCAGCTCATATTTGAGGTTATGGATGTGCTTCTAGGTAACTGCAGGTAACCGCAAGCTCTGATGAAGCAGTGCTGAGAGGCACAGCAGCATCTGGGGGCAACTTCTTGGAGGAGAAATTTCTGGTGGGAAATGAAGTTGGTCAGGTGAAATGACAGCACATGCACCCATTTAGGACAACTGGACCTGCAGATATTCCTTACGTACAAGGCAGCCTATAGAGGTACTCAGCTGACAAAATGAAGGCATGTACCATAGAGAGAGTTTAGCTTCTCTCTGTCTTTTCGCTCCAATGATTTTACTAAAACTCCATGATGGTGATCTTATGAACATCCTCACATTGCCTTATTGAATTTCGGGAACTTGCTTGATTTAATGCCAAACACAAGTGTGCAGTGTTACATGAGTTTCCAAGGTTCCCACACGCAGCTGCATGTGGTTGGCAGGGTCAACACCGGTCCTATACAGGAAAGCCATCGCCATTCAGAGCGACTGTGTGACAGACATCCCAGAGCACTGCAGACAGGTTCGGTGAGTTTGTGCAAGCCACTGGTTGCCACCACTTCAAAGTGGGAAGGTCTGTCCCTTGTCTACCCAGAAGATGTATGGCAGTCCAGGAACCCAAGCTACATCACATTGGAGTCTCCAGTCATGGCCTACACTCTCAGAATGCTTTTTTTCTGTCTCCCAGACTTACTCACCCTATGGATGATGCAGCCATAGAGCAGAGCAACAAGTTTCACAATGTGCCTATGTCATGATTTAACCCAGATGCCAGCAACTAATCACTAGACAGACGCTCACTCACCTCTCCCCTTTCCCCACAGTGGGAAGGGGAGGAAAAATGGACAAAAGGTAAAACTTGTGGGTTGAGATAAAGACAGTTTTACAGGACAACAAAAATGTACTAATAGTAATAGTAATAACAGTAATAATACTATTAGTGATAATAAAAATGATGAACACACAAAAAAACCTATACACAATAGAATTTTCTCAGTACCGCTCGACAAACAGTTGCATAGCCAGATCCCGAGCAGTGATCATGGAACCCGTGGGTTTCCTGGAGCTCACAAATTTTGTGGATTTTGCCAAACTTACGAATTTTGCATAACTTGCCAAACTCATGGAAAAAGACTGAACTCCTGGAAAAGTTCCATCTCCCGCAAAAGAGAAGGTTCAAACTCATGGGAAAGACAACAAAAAAAAAGGATTGCTGCCCCCCCCAGAAAACATCCATTTGTAAAGTGAGGAAGACATCCATGGTATGGAATATTTCCATATGCCACTTGGGCTTGCTCTCTGGCTATGGTCCCTCTCAGCTCCTGCAGACCCGATCATTAACTGAATCTGAGAAACTGGAAAATTCCTTGATTTCTTAGCAACAACTGAAAACATCAGTGTATATCAACATTCTTCTCATTCTAAATCCAAACCACAGCAGCTACTGAAAGGAAAATTAGCTCTATCCCAGCCAACACCAGGATGTGATCCACTCCTTAATCTTTACCATATACATCATGCTCATGTCCCACACTTTCCAATAAATCACCACCACTTTTGCTGTCGTTTGATATATAGACACAGATACCATTCTGTTAGTCTACAAACTATCCCTCTAAAATGTCTGCTGAGTTCATTTAGTCCATAACCAAATAAAGATGGGCTCCATTTGTCATAACAGTCTTTCAGGGCAGGAGATATGTTACGAAGTCCACGCAGCCGGCAGATCAGAGCTGGGCTTCGGTGCAATGCAGCGGGCAGGTGACACTGGGCGCAGCAGGAGGATGGTGTGTAGTGTTGGAGTGTCGCACACTGCATCTGGAGTTATTGATATGCCTTTGATATGGCATATGGCAACGCGTAGAAATAAAGACATACAGTGTTATACAGCAATTAACATCACAAAGTTGAAATTATTGGCTATTCTCACCAAATATCAAATCCACATAAGGTACGCAATAGAATTGCCCATTCTTCCGCATTGTCCCCCCCCGACCCCCCCAAGTGCACCCGGGTCCATGAGCAAAAATAATCCCATGGGTGGATATGCCTTTCCCAGTGGCAGGACTAACCCAGACTGTTTTGCTTAACATCTTCTTCATGTGCACTATGGGGAATTTTTGGGGTTGCCACCTCACCACAGGACCTGCTTTTGAAGATACTGTTTGGGGTGGAGGCATAGGACAAGACATATGTTTCCAGCCATCTGGTGGTTGCTTCCATCATTGTGAGCACATGGTGCTTGCCTTGGCGGGTTTGTGGGAGTGTGATATAACGGATCTGTCAGGCCCCCCCTTTTAGTATTTCAGCCATCATCCTCCATACCACAGAGGCTTTACTCACTTGGACTGCTTGATTGCAGCACATGTTTTGCCTTCATGGACTACCTGAGCGACAGTGTCCATAGTCAGTTTCACCCCTCTGTCACAAGTCCATCTATATATTGTGTCTCTTCCTTGGTGGCCTGAGGTGTCAGGGGCCCACCAGGCTATGAAGAATTCACCCCTATGTTGCCAGTCCAAATCCACCTGACCCACTTCAGTCTTGGCAGCCTGATTCATCTGCTGGGGGTTTTGATGTCTCTCAGTGGTTTGACTCTTGCATACATACAGATTTATACGTGCAGTTCCTTTTCACTGGTCACATTTTAGTTTTCTTAAGTAGCCCCTGATTTGATTCCTATCCACTATTAGCTGTTTTCCTCTGGAGTCCTGCCTTGAGGCACAAGAGCTTAGGAAAACTTGGTAAAATACAAGACAAATAGGACATGAAGTATCTCAGATTTATCTATGCCTACTCTTACTAAATGCAGTTCTGACCACACATTCCTTTCAGTTCTTCCTGAACTGTTGCCGAAATAGCAATAGCTTATTATGATGCCCTTCACTTCCTTTTCAAGTTTCAACTGGGTTTTGACACAGAAGATTGCTGTGCTTGGAGAATGCTCTCCTTGAAGACCAGCTGTATTGACCTCTGCTGCCCTTCAGTGCTGCTGACCATGACATGTGTCACACACCCACCTAGATTTGGGATGGTTTTGCTGTGCTGGACCTGTCCGCCACATGGAGCTGTATGTGACAGCCTTGGCATCTCACATAATGCTGAAGGCCTCCATTTGCATAAAATAGAGTAACTGTCCAGAATTTGATTAGGCAATGTGGGGATGGAAACTGTGATTACAGTCAGTGGATATATAATCAACCCAGCTGAGGGAAAAAAAGAGAGAAACGTAGCTCTCCCAATGACACAGGACACCATTTGCTCAGATGGGTGCAGCATAGGCTGCCAAGAAAACAGTAAATAGGGACAGATGCAATTCTCTTGCACATGGCTTGGACAACCTCTGGCACCTCAATTTCATCTGAACATCCAGCTCCTACCTATATCTTCATTACTCGCCATGGAGGCTGAGACTAGGTACTCACATGCAGGTGCCTGTTTAATGCACACCTGAAGGAAGGCAAAAGGACTCCCACCTCCTGTGGGTTTGTGACAGGCATGGGAGGGAGCTGATTCCCCTTCCAGTGCTAACAATAGACATGCAGGAGGAGATGCCCCTGTTGATTCAGCTGAATCCTATCCCTCATCAGAAGTCAAGAAGATCCCTGTCCTTCATTATCTGCATGTCCTGCCTAATCATATGACAAAAAGGTGATTTTAAGAACTTACTCTGTCTCAGAAAAGAGAATAACACTGCTGCAAAGGAGTGTCTCTCCCTGGCTGGGTGTGGGAACATCAGGGATTATTTCAGTGTGTTTCACAGCAGTTTCCCCTGGAGCCCCAGGGATACCCGGAGGGAGACCAGAGGGAGCAGAAAAAATGCTGCCTCAGGCTAGCTCTCTGCTGCTGATCTGGGCTGTGCTCATGGGATGGAGGGAGCTCATGGAAAGTGAGCAGAGCTGCACAGAGATAACTCTGCCCTGGAGTAACTTCTCTGCAAAGCACAGCAGGGCTGAGGGTACTGCTTGCAAGAACTGAGGGGAAAAGAGAGAGATAGACACGGGTTAAAGGCAGTCAGGAATGGGAAGGTGGCTGAGACCTCACTGAAGGAGAGATCTTCAAAGCACTCTGCATGGTGAGTTTCTGGATGCAGCGCAATTCACCTTATGTTCCTGAGAGGGATCTCCTAGAGCTGGCACATCCCAGAGCCTATGGGATCTTTCAGGAGGACTCTGACAGTTTCTGTAGTGAAGCGGAAGAGGATGTGCCCCAGAGCAGGGTTTCCCTGCACAACTATCAGAGGGAAAGCACGTGATAGCTGCCTTCTCCCAGGGACTTGTGCAGGGCGTAAATCTGGGTGTGCAGCCAGGGGTGCCCAGGGCTGCCCTTCACTCTGCCCAGGGAACTCCTCTCGGTGTTGTGGGGAGAAGATGAGGATGGAAGGAGTGATCCCTGGCAGGTTTCTTCTGCTGTTGAGAGCGAGCTGAGTGAGACAGCGCAGCTCTCAGATCCAGCTCATGCCCAGGTCATTTCTGAGGGGACTTTTCATGAGTACGGTCAGAGCAGGGTTTCCTGCTTGAGTCTGTGGTCTCCTGAATCTATGCTTCTGCTTTTCTTTGGCTCGGCTTGGTGGGAATGGAAACTCAGATGTGCAGGTTAGAGAATTGGCTGAGACCCCTAAACCATCACCCTGGGTTTTACTGGGAACCTCAGCAAGTGCCTTCACCCCCACCAGCCAACAGATAAAAATGGCATCTCCTTTCCAGTTTCATCAGGGTTTGTGTGACCTGCTCGTTAGCCCCTGTACACACACAGAGGCTGCATGGTAGAGCTGGGCACACAGGGTCTGGGTTGGGGTCTGTGAGCGCTGGCAGGGAAGAGACATGGGGCTGGAGAAACAACTTCTGGCAGGGACAGCTGCAGGCAGTAGAAACATCGGCAGGGAGGGAGAGAAATGCTAAGCAAAACCCTGCTGCAGGGGAGATACTGAGGATTTCTGACACCCAAACACCCTCCCCAGGGGAGATGGAAGGGATCTATAAAAACAACCCCTCAACAAACATGACAACATCAAACACTAGCACCGTCCTCTGCCCCCACCATTCCCATGAACTCACTGTTGCAGAGCAGGGCTGACACCTCGTCCAACAGCAGGCAGAATCCCTACTCCTCACCATACACTGACCCAACCAGAGCTCCAGCTACAGAGCTGCAGGAAGGTCTAGAAAGGCAAAAAGAGTTGGTGTGCGTGGCAGCATAGGATTTTATGGGAAATGGCTTTGCTATTTCTTACAGAATTCTTCCCTATCATCTCACTGCCTTTTCCTGCTTGGACAGGTACCCATGAGCACAGGAAGCAAATGTTCAACAGCAGCTCCATCACCGAGTTCCTCCTGACATTCGCAGACACACGGGAGCTGCAGCTCTTGCACTTCTGGCTCTTCCTGAGCATCTACCTGGCTGCCCTCCTTGGAAACGGCCTCATCATCACTACCATAGCCTGTGACCACCGCCTCCACACCCCCATGTACTTCTTCCTGCTCCCTCGCTGACCTGGGCTCCATCTCCACCACTGTTCCCAACGCCATGGCCAATTCCCTGTGGGACACCAGGACCATCTCCTACTCGGGATGTGCTGCACAGCTCTTTCTGTTTATCTTTTTGATGTCAGAGTTTTCTCTTCTCACCATCATGACCTATGACTGCTATGTTGCCGTCTGCAAACCCCTGTACTACAGGACCCTCCTGGGCAGCAGAGCTTGTGTCCACATGGCAGCAGTTGCCTGGGCCAGTGGGTTCCTCAATGCTGTGCTGCACACTGCCAATACATTTTCCATACCACTCTGCCAAGGCAATGCTGTGGACCAGTTCTTCTGTGAACTTCCACAGACCCTCAAGCTCTCCTGCTCACACTCTTATGGCAGGGAGGTTGGGCTTACTGTGGTTAGTCTCTTAGTAGGATTTGGGTGTTTTGTTTTCATCGTGCTGTCCTATGTGCAGATCTTCAGGGCTGTGCTAAGGATCCCCTCTGAGCAGGGACGGCACAAAGCCTTTTCCACATGCCTGCCTCACCTGGCTGTGGTCTCCCTGTCTATCACCACTGGCATGTTTGCCTACCTGAAGCCCCCTTCTATCTCCTTCCCATTCCGGGATCTCTTGGTGGCATTTCTGTACTCAGTGGTGCCTCCAGCCGTGAACCCCCTCATCTACAGCATGAGCAACAAGGAACTCAAGGATACAGTGTGAAAAGAAAAGACTTCAGAAAAGACTGAATATTTTTCTGAAGCAATAAACTCTCCATTATCTTATGCATATCACTCATATCTTATTACAGGCTCACACTTTGTCCTGTTTCACGAGTTTTTTTAGCATTGTTTCTTCTGTTTCACGAGTTTTTTTACCACTGTTTGCTTGTGATAATATTTTACACAAAGAAATTTCATTATTCATACCATTTCCAATTCTGTACCTACCTTTCTAGTGTTAACCAGAGACTATTGAAAGCCTGTTGAAACAAGAGCCATGTTCTCAGTTAATTTCTAAGAAATAAAGGAGCCTGCAGTGGCTTCTTTTTCTGAGATCCTTTCTCTGAGACATTTTCTGGTGCTGCAGGGGCAGTGCCTCTGTGCAGAGCTGGAAAGGAAAAGTCTGGGCACAGCAGCACTGCCAGGGACCACCAGCGCTTGGTCTTTCCAGAGCTGCTCTTTTTTAAATTCCACTCTCCCTTTCTAAGACCCTGTGATGGTGTAAGCAAGGATTGCTCTTCCAGCATGGTCACAGTCCATTTATGTGGTAGACCTGTGACTGCAGAGAGTGACAGGCAATGGCCACTTCTTTGGCAGAGCGGACCTCCATCCCAGAGTCTCCATCATACAAGGGGATCGCAGTGCCTGAAACCTAAGGTTTTCTTCCAAAGTTTCTCTCAAGATAAAGCCCAGAAAAGGGCCCTCAAGAGGGATACATGATTAAACAGTTAATTTGGTGGAGTATTTGGGGTGGGAGCATGTGGCAGTGTTTTTGCACAGCCAGACCTCCTAGGGGAGATAGGAAGGACCCCCAGATCGGGGGTTCACTGTAGACCCCACTGTTCACTGTACACGTCAGGAAAGATGTCCCAAGGCGACCATCACAGACCACCCAATAACAATCACAATTTCCAGAGCTGAACTGTCATCACTGCTCGTACAGGTCGTTTATCCCTCCACAGTGAGACATCAAATGCCTAGGTCAAAAGTCCATATTTGTGTTCTACAGTTGTAAGATCATGAAGCAGATCCTCCTGGAAGAAAACTCAACATGTATGGAAGAGAGAGGGAGCATGATCTGAGACAGCCAGCATGGCTTCACAAAGGGCAAATTGTGCCTGAATAATCTACAGGCCTTTTACCATGGAGTGATCGCATCAGTGCACAAGGCAAGAGCTATGAATGCTGTCTACCCAGACTTCTGTGAGTTCTTTGATATGTCCCCCACAACATCCTTGCTGCTAAATTGAAGAGGTATGGGTTTGATGGATGGACTGTTAGATGGATATGGAAATGGCTAGATAACCACATACAAATAGGTATAGTCAATGGCTCAATGTCCAAGTGGAAACCAATAAAGAGGACTGTCCCTCAAGGGTCCATGCTGGCACCAGTATTTTTTAATATCTTTCACAGCGCCATAGTCAGTGGGATTGAGTGCACCCTCAGCAAGTTTGCAGAGGACACTAAGCTGAGCAGGACAGTTGATTCACTTGAGGAAAGGGATGACATCCAGAAGGACCTGGGTGTGCTTGAGTAGTAGGTCTGTGCAAACCTCATGAAGTACAACGAGGCCAAATGCGAGGTCCTGCACCTGGGTTGGGGAAATTCCCACCGTCAGTAAAGACTGGGAGATGGATGGATTGAGAGGAGACCTGCAGAGAAAGACTTAGGGATATCGATCAGTGAAAACTTGGACATGGGCCAGTAATGTGCTCTTGGAGCCCAGAATGTTGACTGTATCCTGGGCAGCCTAAGGAAAACCATGAGCGATGTGATTCTCCCTCTCTACTCCACTCCCGTGAGAACCCGCCTGGAGCACTGTGTCCAGCTCTGGGTTCCCCAGTACAAGAAAGACATGGACCTGTTGGAGCAGGTCCAGAGGAGAGCCACAAAAATGATTGGAGGGCGGGAACACCTCTTCTATGAAGCGAGACTAAGAGGATTGGGGTTGTTCAGCCTCAAGAAATGAAGGCTCCAGGGAGACATCCTTGCAGTCTTTCAATCGATGAAAGGGGCTTTTAGGAAAGATGAAGCATGACTTTTTTATTGTTATGGTTTGGCTGTGGCCAGCAACAAAAGCGCCACAAGGCCATCCCTCCCCCCGCCATGCTGCGGAGGAGAATGGAAAGAAAACAGGCAGAAACTGGTGGGTCAGGATAATGGCAGTTTAACAGAACAGCAAACAAAGGGAACAGCAACTACAACGATACAGATAAGGAGAAAACACAACATAAATCACACAACACTGAGAGCCGCTCTCCCGGACCGAACTGGATCCGCGCGCTCCCGAGGTGCGAGTGAGTTCCCCCCACCCCTCTCCCCCCCAAAAGGAATGCAACATGATGGCACATGGTATGGAATACCCTGCTCTGTTTGGCCAGGTGGGGTCAGACCGCCCGGCTGTGCCCCTTCCTGAATTCTGGTGAAAATTAACCCTGTCCTGGCC